TTGGAGTTCTCATTATTATTGTGGCCCATTACTACAACATCCTCGCTAATGCTTTCCTGAACATTTAACAATGGACTCATTACTTTGACGAGTTGATACAACATCATCATTAACATTTTCAACATCAATTTCATTATCATTAACCATGGAATTATCATTTTGATGCTGATTATCATCTTTCCCCCCGGATGAACGCCTTCTCATTTGGTCTACATGTCGTCGCATGATTCTACCGTCATCTTCACATCATACATTTTACTACCCTCTCTCAGATGCACTACCCTGGGAAGCCAACGGTCCCCCTTGGCATAATTTTCTACAAATACCTCATTAATTACATTAAACTCCCTGACCTGGGAATGACGATCAGAGTAGTGCTTCTGTAGTTCCTGCTTTTGCATTACCCTATCATTTAGACTTGGGTGTACCATACTTAATGGTGAATGTAACATTCTTCCCGTAAGTGCCTCGCAGGGTGGAACACCAGTGGTAGAATGAGGGGTAATACGATACTTAAAAAGGAACCGTGACAATTTAGTATGAAGTGAACCCTCAGCCATCTTTGCAAGTCCATGTTTAACGGTTTGGACTGCTCTCTCGGCTAACCCATTAGATGATGGTTTGAAGGGGGCACTAAACAATTGCTTAATCCCGTTGTGCACAGTAAACTCTTTAAACTGGGTGCTAGTATAGGTTGGTCCGTTGTCACTCACTAACACTTTAGGAATACCATGAGTGGCAAATACTCTTCTGAGCACCTCGATTGTGCACTCAGCAGTTATAGAATTCATAATCACAGCATCGATCCACTTAGTATAAGAATCGACAATAATAAAAAATGACTTCCCCATGTAAGGTCCCATGAAGTCTATGTGAACCCGAGACCACGGTTCTTTAGGGTACTCCCACATACTTAAAGGTGTTTCGGCAGGTTTATTCCTGTTAACCTGACATTTGGTACATGTGCTAACATATTTTTCCAAGTCTTTGTCAATACATGGCCACCATACATATTGTCTACTAATGGACTTCATTAATGTAATTCCTGGGTGACAATCATATAACTCTTTAATGATGAGATTGCGGCCCTTTGCAGGAACCACAATACGGGACCCCCACAAAATAC